GGTGGGGGTCCGCGCTGAGCGCCGGCGCTGTCGCCCCGCAGGAGGAGCTGCCGCTGCCCCTGGAGCACTTCCTGCAGAGGATGGCCCGGAGACCCCGGCCCCAGCAGTTCTTCGGCCTCATGGGCAAGCGGGATGCCGGTGAGCGGGGCGGGGGGCTGGCTCCCCCACACGCCCCTCTGCATGCCTCTTCTCCTAGCGCCGCTCCAAACTTCACAGCGGTTGTCACCCGGTTTTAATGCGTTAAACCTTTCTCAAAAGTTGCCATGTGGGTTGTTTGGGTTTGGGGGTTTTTTTTGGTTTTCTGTTTTTGCAAGTTTAATATCGGAGAAACTCGCCGATTGGAAAAGAGTGGGCTTCACATTAAAGTGCTAAGTGCTCACCAATTACAGCACATAGATACCAGTAAGGAGTATCACGATAATTCACGGGTCGGCATATGTGCCACTGAATTGCCCAAGTGTGGAAATCGGTTGTGTATACAATTATTGCCATCTTTTCTACATGTTTACTGATCCAAGAACTGATCTAAGAAATTGGAGCTAAACAGTTCTAAATTGTGTGGGTTTAGTAGTCTCTTCAAAGAGAAATGCAGTTGTAAACGATCACCTTAATTTCCCATAAGTGGAATATGCGTAGGGTAGTTTCTGTATTTGATTCTTCAAAGCATTGCAGTAGCATCATATTATATGCCAATCCTTTTTCAACAGCTCTTTTTCCTTTTTTTCTCTTTCCTTTCCTCTTCCAATCAGGATACGGCCAGATCTCTCACAAAAGTAAGTTAAAAAAATGCAAATATTTTAAGTAATTATTAGAAGATACTCAAATAGGGAATAGTGTATTTGAGGGGATTAGTTAGAAGGTGGCTGGGTTCAGCTAAGGACTGACAGCACCGGTGGTGGAGAAATGTTCTGCTAAAGGATTGAAAACCCCCCAGTGCAACCGTGAGCCTGTGCCTCATCCGAGCCACCACAAGCTTTGCGATTTCAATCCACGTTAATGTGTGGATGTTGCAGCTCTCTCTTATTTCCCATGGGGGGGATTCTGTAAGCCTTTCTCATAGGCAGGGCAGGCTTACTGCCAGACTTGGAGAGGAGCAATTAAGACAGCAAAATCTGGAAAATTAGAATAGTGAATTCCCAAATCCCCAAGAACAATTCCAAGGGAGAGCCCATGTATGGAGCATGCGAGATACTGTATCTGTGCTCTCAGCATTATCTGGGTGGGAATCAGACCCCCGCTCACAGCAGGGGCTGATTGATGATGTGCTGCCATATAAACAAGCATATCTTGACCCATTCATAAGCGTGCCTTGCTTTGCTTCTGTGTAACACCAAGCGGGAGATGGTATCAGCAGGGTGGTGTTACCTTGTTCTGCACAGTGATAGTTTTATTCTCTGAACTTATCTGAAGATGCTCAGACAGAAGCCGGAAGACTTTTAATAAGTAAAAATGATCTTGTATTCTGTGAGAGCTCCTCTGTCCACAGAGGTCAATAACTGTCCCGGTGTTCTGTTAGCCACAAGATTTTATGACTAGGATTATGTATTGGAAGACCAATTAAAGAGTCCGATACAAAGCTCATGCCAAATAACCTGATGACTAAAGTAAAAAATTACAGCTTTCTGAAACTGCTTCAGCTTGAATTACTACCTGTGAGGCCTGAAGATCATTCGTCTTGCTTTGTAGATGAATTAGCCAAGCAAAATTCTTTCCAAAGAGAAATTTCTAAGTTTGCCTCAAAAGCCAGCTTAGAGAAAGAAGAATGGCTCCTTTCGTTCCTTGTCTGAAACTATAGCTACCACTATATCTGATACGTGCTGTAGGCCAAAACTTGGAGTGATTTATCCTCTACACATCCAGTACCTTGAGGACTACTAATGGGACAGGAAGGTAATATCTGAACTCATAAATATTCCAAAAATAGAGCCAGACTGTCTAGTTCAGACATGTCCAGACATAGAGTCCCATTGGCTTCCTCTCCAGTAAGGGCTCTGCCTGACCTGTAAGGAACATTTTTCTTCCACTTCACAGAAAAAAAATGCCAACAGGTAGAAGAGATGCATCACACGGATGCAGGCTATACCAAGACACTGCCGCCTTGTGCATTTGCTCAAATCAATAGGAATTGCACTGGGAGAGGAATAAGAATCGGTTATTGGCCATTGTTTTTCCATTATACTTAAAAAACCCCACAAACCAAAACAAAAAGTCAATCTGAGTTAATGAGAAGATGTCCACTAACTAGCCTGTGCCTTGGTCTACCCTGTTTAGTCTGATTAGTCAGACTGATGTTCATTCTCCGTTGTCCGAGAGTGGTGAGAACAACTAGTCTGTGAGATGAACAGTTTTGGAGCCTGTGTCTTCCTTCCTCGCGAGAACATGTTATCTTAAAAGCCTGCCTATTTAAAATGTATTAAAACACCCCCAAATATATTTTTTCAGGGCATAAAACAGACTCCTTTGTTGGACTTATGGGCAAAAGATCTTTAAATTCCGGTATGTATATGACGAAATCTGGTACTCGGTAATATACGGCCTCTTCATTCTGTTGCCTCTTTGTTCTCTCCCAGCGGATGGAAGAAGCAGTCTTTATGTAGTGTAGACCCAGAGTTCTCTGAAAAAGGGTCAGGATTTTCTTTGTTAACCAAAGAAAATCAGGGTCCGCTTCACTCCAATGCTTGAGATGATCAGGCTGGACTGAGCTGCAGGCAAGGTCCGGTAGAAGTCCCCAGGGCACTTTCCTTACTGCCCTGTCCTTGCCAGCAGCACGTTCTGCTGGTCCCCAAAGTGCTAGTACAAGAAAAACCTAAATTTTACTGACAAATCCAGATCTCCCCAGGTAAAGGGATATCCTCATCACCTCTGGAGATCATTATTCCTCAAACTCGGAGCAGAAGGTGGAAGAGCAGAGATCTGCCATTAACACCACCTCATTCTGCAGGTCAAGCTGTTAAACGTTCCCAGCCTCTTCCAGCTTTTCATTTTTCCTAAAGAAAAAAAAAAAGCAACAAGCATTTTAAGCTTTGAACTGATACTGTGAATTTGTGTTATTTTCCCATAGCATCCATATAGAGCAGAATCCTCCTCCCTCATGTGCACGACCCCTGTGGGTAACTGCAGACTGCCAGTAGCTCTAGCTTCCCTGTGCTATAGGGCTCTACTGAGGAAATCCCTCACTGTGAACCATAAAGCGTCAGTTAATTCCCCAGAATAGGAATTAAAAAAATAAAAAAACTAATACGTATCTCATGTCTCTGAAATAGTTCTCACTGTTTTGTTAAATGGATGATAAAAGTTAAATTACTAGCTGACACCTTTATATTATATGGATACACGCTGTGATCTATATTCTGCAATTATGGTTGTCAGTAACTTTTATTTTCAATTAAACCCTGTTCAGACTAATAATATTTCTCTCTGCATCATTTTGCAAATTGCTATGTATCATGAATAATTTTGTACAATTTTATCTGTGGTGGCAGTAGCTATTAAATGCATAATACCTGTAAATACATCTGCTATCACAAAAGTAAATAGCCTGGAAGTAATAAATTTGGTTTGGTTTCTATTGGGATTACATTTACATTAACATGAGAATGTAAAATGCAGCAAATGTTTAAAAAAGGCAAAGATTTTATTGCCCTAATTTCAAAATTGCTGGTATGGTCAGGATACTGTTATGTGGTATTTGTAACAATGGGGAATAATGAAGTTTTACCCTGTCAGGCTATCTAATACCTGCCTGACAGGTAAAACTAGAATTCACTGCTTTTCTGCCCAATTCCCTGAGAGGAAAATGGTAAGAATTTGCTTCTGCTCCTCTGGAGGAGAAGATAGGTCCTAAGGACTGTGCAATCAAAGCAAGATCAGGAGTGTGTGCTAGGACTGTCCTTACTTCTCCCTACTGGAAGATATTTAACTGGCAGGACCTTTTCTTGGTGCCGTGCCTTGGTGCTGTGGTTTTCTTCTTCTGCAGAAAGCCCCTGAGACCCCTGGCAATGTGTAGGAGTTCACACCGCCCCGCTGCTGGGTGTGAGCGCAGTGCTGATGTAAAGCCTCATGTGACAAAGCAGAGTACCGGGATGCTGGTGTCTCAATTCCTGGTTTGGGAAAATGGGGTCTGACACTGCCTGTCTCCCAAGCTGTGCAGTCTGTCGGATGAACGCTCGAGGTGGAAGCTAGAAAACAGTCATACGTACAGTAAAGATACTATAACAATCCATACTGAGAAAGAAAGCTCAACTCATTTTGCATTTAGCCTGGTGAAAATTGAAGTCTCGTTAATTTAAAACTGTCACTGATCCAAAATGCCAGCTCCCTGCGGGATGCAGTACTGAATCCCCCCAAACTAGCTGTGCACTGCATGCAATAGTCAGGCGTGCATACGCTCTGTGAAAGCAATCCTCCCTTTGGGGTCGAAGCAAAGATGACTCTGGTGACCAGCTTTGTCACCCTGGGGTCCGGCTCTGCCCAAGAAGGGCTCTCTGGGTTTCCCTCTCATTTTAAAAGAGCAAGAGGGAGAGATCTACTGCTACTAAACGCTAAATATGTTACTGAAGACTATTTTAGGCTGTGGTAGGTCCGCAGGGTAGTCTGAGGTTTGCTTAGCTCCTGCTGCAGGTTTTAGTAAAAGGTATCACTGTGCAGGGCTTGGGGACAAGGGAGGGTTTAAACCTGGCAAAGAGCTGACCTGGCAGCACAGAAGGTGGCAATGTCGATGCAGAAGGCGTCTACTCACAAATTGATCTGAGTGCTCAGATCCCATCAGTTAAATCGGTTACTGGAACATATAAATGCTTTGAGTTAATGCTGCTTCAAGCAGCTCGATAGACGAGAGGTAGAAAGCACTGCTCAGACCTTCAGCCTCCTGGAGGATAGTGTAGTCTGAGGGGTAAAACCAAATCAAAGCAGCTCAGGGCTGTGCCAGGATCCCTCATCTCATGTCCAGACGCTCTGACAGGGTCCAGCGGTGACCCAGCAGGCTGCAGGTCTCTGATGTTTCCTTGTGCTTGCTGGGGTTTATGCAAGGCTGCACCATGTGCTTCATTCTGCTTTGTTTTTTGCAGGATCCTCTGAAAGGAGCATAGCACAGAATTACGAACGGAGGCGTAAATGAGACATTCACGTGCATTATTTATTAACTTCATTTGTTCCAATGGCCAATGCAGTGTAATTTAAACTAACAACTGTACGGAATAATTATTTATTTAATAATAACCAATGGGTTGGGTTTTTTTTTTTTGAGTTGTACATTCAATAAAATTATTATTTTTCATATTGTGGCAGCGATACGTGTTGTGTAGGTGCGTTGTGGTTCTGAAAGGACCAGCAACCCTGGTGACGTCTCACAACAAAGCACATCATTTGATATGACCCATAAAGTTATGTTCACTAAACAAAGAGAATATTCTTTTGTTTGTTGAAAGCGAGCCTGTCAGCTTCACAGCCAGTGCAGAACAGAGCTGATGTACAGTCTAGTGCCTCAATTTGTTTTCATGGTTTACAATGTACTGTAATTTCCGTATCAAAAAATATATTTGTATCATTGCAGCATGTTTTATGTTTTGTGACTACGTATCTATATATTTTAAAAAGGGGGGGTGGGTAAGGTTTGAATGTGAATCTGAGGTCTTCATTTCATAGTCTGGAATTTTATGATAGTAACATTTTAAATAAAAACTACTCTGGGGATTTTGCAACATATTTTCTTTGGTGATAGTGATGGTGTTATTTCCCAAGGCAGTCTGGAATGAGACTCAGATCCAAGCGACAGTGGTCTGAGACTGGAAAGAAATACCAAATTGATGCCTTCCTTTTGCAGGGAGGCCATGATCCTCCTAGTGCGGGTTTGGTGAACACTGTGGGGGATTTGCCACTGGAGACAGGCATTCCCGGGATTGCTCCGAGTCACACAAGGTGCCATCTATCCTAAACCCGATGGAAATCAAGAAGTGTGTTGACTGAATGAAAAGGGCCCAATGTATCCCCCAGCTCCAAGTGGAATAATTTGCTGTGGACTTCATCCACTACTATAGGCTTGTTATTTGAAAGCCAAGCTTTTAATAAATACTAGCCCTCAGATTCACAATAAAAACACTTGTTGTCTTGAACCCAAGAGAGAAAAATGTGAGTGCAATCACCTTTTTAATTAAAATGTCTGGTTACTGTATTTCCAAAACTGTCCCAAAATGCTACATACATCTCAGCAGATGCCAAAGCATCTGGAGGTCTATATTCTTTCCACCAGCTAAAAGCTATACTTCTCTGTTTGATGCTTTCACACGAGCTTTCATCAGAGATGAATCCGCAGTGAAAACAGCCAGCACATACACACCAAATTTCAAAATAAGTAATACAAAGTGATTAACTGGTGGTTGTTTTCCATTTCGGAAGTTGAACTTGGCAACCTTCATTTTCAGGTTTACCTGAGGCATCCCCATAACTGCACCCATTAAGAGTGGGTGGGCGTAGGACCTTCCTCCTGCTAGGTTAGGAGTAGCACCTAAGCCTGCCCATGCTTAAAACAGATCCCACTTCCAATTAAGAAGGAGCCGGCTCTAGCGAGGTGTGGGGCTACACGGTGGGAAAACTGAGGCAGACTTGCGACGGGCACCACGCTCATGTGAGATGCAGTGGTTATACTGGTGCTCTGCCAGCTCTTCATCTTGCCACGGCTAATTTTCAGACTAATAAACTTCTGTATCAGCTCCCACTGAGCTCAATGAGGGGGGAAAGCTGATTGCTGGGCTAACAGCATGGCAAAAGGAGTGCAGAAATGTGTGTTGAATAATGCTCAGCAAAGGGTAAAAAGAAAGAAAAAGCTTTAAAATGCTGTTTCCTGAGCCTGGAGGACCATGGTGCTCCCAGAGCTCACAGCCTGCGTGCACTGAATTGTGAGACACAGAGAGGAAAGAAAAAGCCCCGCTGCTCACTCCCTGCAGCCTGCGCATCTCACAAACCTCCCCGCAGAAGCAATGACTGCAAACATATTTGCATCCAGAGAAAGCCACACAAGACAGAGTGGGCTTTAAGTGTTTGGAGGACAGCACAGATACTAGTTAACAGCACCCAGCAAAGGGCTGAAACTGAATTTTCTGGCAAAACCATAGAATCACAGGATGGTTTGGGTTTAAGGATCACCGTGTCCAACCCCGCCTGCCGTGAGCAGGGACTTCTTTCAGGTTGCTCAAAGCCCCATCCAGCCTGACCTTGAACACTTCCAGGGATGGGGCATCTACCACCCCTCTGGGCAACCTGTTCCAGCGTCTCACCGCCTCATCATAAAAAATGTCTTTCTTATGTCCAACATAAATCTACCCAGCTCAAAACTGTTGCCCCTTGACCTGTCTTTACAAGCCTTGGTGAAAAGTTTCTCTCTGTCTTTCTTATAAGCCCCCTTTAAGTACTGATAGGCTGCAATAAGGTCTTCCCGAAGGCTTCTTTTCTCTAGGCTGAACAACCCCAACTCTCTCAGCCTTTCTTCATAGGAGAGGTGTTCCATCCCTCTGATCATTTTTGTGACCCTCCTCTGGACCCGCTCCAACAGGTCCGTGTCTTTCCTGTGCTGAGGGCTCCAGAGCTGGACGCAGTACTCCAGGTGGGGTCTCCCCAGAGCAGAGTAGAGGGGCAGAATCACCTCCCTCGACCTGCTGGCCACGCTGCTTTTGTTGCAGCCCAGGATATGGTTGGCTTTCTGGTCTCTGAGTGCATATTGCTGGCTCATGTCCAGCTTTTTATCCACCAGTACCCCCAAGTCCTTCTCCACAGGGCTGCTCTCAATCCATTCAGCCCCCAGTCTGTACTGATATGTTGGATTGCCCCAGCCCAGGCGCAGGACCTTGTACTTGGCCTTGTTGAACTTCATCAGGTTCGCATGGGCTCACTCCTCAAGCCTGTCAGGGTCCATCTGCATGGCATCCCTCATCTCTGGTGTATCAACTGCACCACCGCCATTTTCTCTGGAAGGAAAGGCTGACCCTCCGATGTCAAAATATTCTCCTGTTACGTGGCTGTCTGATGAGTGGTTTTAATTTGGCATTTGAAACAACTCCTTTCAACTTCTGGTGGCAAAATAATGTCAGATTTGTGCTAATTTAGGTTTTGAACAATAAGATTAAAATTGGCATTGATTTCTATGTTTGTACAGACATATATTCCAGGCTAGAAATAAACAAAACGCATACCAAAAGGCACAGCCTGAAATGTTCCAACTAACTCTACCAATGATAGGAAAAAAAAAAGCCCTTATCATATTTCATCATTGGGGACCATTCAGCCGAGCCATGCCACGTTGGGGCTGCAGGGCCCTGCCTGCCCAGCAGGTCCAGGGCAGACGTGGAGGCGCATGAACCACTCACACCTGCAGCCCAGCACTGCCCGTCCCCACCACGGGCTCACTCCCACCACCCTCCTAGTCAAACATTTGTCCTCACAGGCATCCTGGGATCCTCAAGACTCAAACAGGAATTCTTGTATCTTTTTTCAGCCTTTAGTAGTAAGTGATATAGTCTATACATTATTGAGCACTTCAAAGGGACTTTTTAATCATTTCTGTGGTCTTTAATCTCCCTTTTGAGGCTCCTTCAGCTTTTGAACACTTCTATGTGTTGGACAGCATTGCTTGCAGCCCCGGGTCACTCGCGTTTTGGATCACTGGGCGATGCCAGCCCTACAGCTCCACTGCAGGCTTTGGAGAGGCTTTCACTAAATCCCCTGCCGTCTCTGCAACAGTCAGCCACGACTGTGACACAGACTTAGCTCTTCTTTGATAGCAACAGTCTGACATCCCTCAGGCTGCGTAAGCTAATCGATAAAGCTGCAGCAAGGGCATTTGTCAGTGAAATGTAAGCAAGCTTTAAATAAAGTAATAAAAAATCTTTCTAGGAAATCAGCACAGAGAGTAAACCTAGGGTGATGCTGGTAATTGTCCCCACTGGGGAGGTGCTACAGGCAGTTTGACACCACAGCCCACCTCCAACATGCTCTGCCCCCTTTTTGCTTCTCTTTTCCCCCAGAAATACAGCACTCATCTGCATCATGGCAGGCGGCTGCTCTTCTGGTAGGTCCTGTCTCCCTCACACACACAGGCACTCCCCTTCCCCCAGATAGGGGATGCTGAAGTCAGGTTGGCAGCAGCCTGCCTTACCCAAGGGTGACCAGGAGGACCATCAGCTCCATCCATCACCTCCATCTCTCTGCCATTGCATGGAGACTGGTCCCCCATTGCACAGATGCAGCCAAACTTACCCTGGGGAGCCAGAGCCATGGTGTACATAGCCCCCCGTGAACCAGGGAGCTGGGAGGGGGGGGTCTGGCTCCCCATATACACCTCGCCAGGGGAGCTTGGGCTCTGCAGCACTTGTCCACCCAGCTGCCACGAGTGAGTGCTTTGCTGTGTTCACAGCAGGAGGCTGGTATTTTTTAGCATGGTCCTAACCAAAAGAAAAGGAAGAATCTGGAAATGTCTGGGCATGGAGATCTTTAGGGGGAATCCAGCCCCCAGCTATCGTTAGTGTCCTGATTTTGGCAGGGATAGAGTTAATTTCCTTCCTAGTAGCTGGTACAGTGCTGTGTTTTGGATTTAGGACTAGAACAAAGTTGATAACACACCGATGTTTTAGTTGTTGCCAGGTAATGCTTACACTGGCCAAGGACTTTTCAGCTTCCCATGCTCTACCGACTGAGAGGGCTGGAGGTGCACAAGAAGCTGGGAGGGGGCACAGCCAGGACAGC